GGGACTCGATCCCAGGACCCTGGGATCATGACCTGAGCCGAAGGCAGCTGCTTAACCAACTGAGCCACGCAAGCGTCCCTAAAGGATATTTTTTAAAAAAAATATTTTCTTTATTTGACAGACAGAGATCACAGGTAGCCAGACCATCAGGCAGAGAGAGAGGAGGAAGCAAGCCCCCCGCCCAGCAGAGAGGGGGGGCTTGATCCCAGGACCCTGAGACTCTGACCTGAGCCAAAGGCAGAAGCTTAACCCACTGAGCCACCCAGGCGCCCCAAAATATTTTTAAAACACATTTTTTGGGGCACCTGGGTGACTCGGATGGTTAGGCGTCAGCCTTGGTCTCGGGTCATGATCTCCAGGTTCTGGGATGGAGCCTGCATCAGGCTCCCAGCTCAGCGGGGAGTCTGCTTCTCTTTATCCCTCTGCCTTTCACCCTGCTTGGCTCTCACTGTCTTTCTCTCTCTTAAATGAATAAAAACAAAAAAACAGGGGCACCTGGGTGGCTCAGTGGGTTAAGCCGCTGCCTTCGGCTCAGGTCATGATCCCAGGTCCTGGGTTCAAGCCCCGCATCGGGCTTTCTGCTCAGCAGGGAGCCTGCTTCCTCCTCTCTCTCTACCTGCCTCTCTGCCTGCTTGTGATTTCTCTCTGTCAAATAAATAAATAAAATCTTTAAAAAAAAAAAAAACAAAAAAACACATTTTTTAAGGTATTATTGACATACAACGTATCCTAGTTGTACGTGTACAAGATAATGATTTGACATACACCTATATTGTGAAATGAAGAGTTTGGTTAGCATCCATCACCTCACATAGTTACAAAAGTCTTTTTTTTTTTTTTTTTAGGATTTTATTATTTATTTGACAGGCAGAGATCACAAGTAGAGAGGCAGGCAGAGAGAGATAGGAGGAAGCAGACTCTCTGCTGAGCAGAGAGCCCGATGTGGGGCTCGATTGCAGGACCCCGGGATCATGACCCTAGCCGAAGGCAGAGGCTTTAACCCACTGAGCCAGCCATGCACCCCCTTCCCCCCGTTGTCATTTTTAAAGCGAAGTTCCCTTCTCAGACTTAGACGCAAGCATAGCTCACAGCCGTTTTTCTCAAAGTGCGATTTCCCCACCAGCCACGTCAGCACCATCCAGAAATTTCTTAGAAATGTAAATTCTGGGGCTCCCAGCCTGGATTTAGGAATCAGAAACTCTGGGGACCGGGTGTAGCAGTCTGGTTTATTAAGGCCTCAGGGCGATTCTGAAGCCCGCGCCAAGTGTGAGAACCACGGTTCGCATCTCTCTCTCCCTAACCGGCTCTGCTCGTCAACTGCCAGCAGCTGAGTTTCCAACTTTTCTGTGCTTGTCTGCGTCCTCCCCCTCGTGCGTCATAAAACACGTCGAGCCAATGCCCTTGTGTTCCACCTGCTGCTTTCAAAGTCAAAGGGCAATTTAAAAGCCTGGAAATTGAGGACTTCTCAGGAGCAGAAACTTTGCTCAGTTGACTTTGTAACGCCGCACGACGGAGAGATGATGATAAAATGTGAGTTTCCCCCGCTTTCCCTGGTAACAGTACTTGCATAATTCTTCACACATTGTAAGGTGCCATTCAGATGCGTCCCTTCACTTGACCCTGACTCTCACCCACGAGCTAGGCAGAAGTACGAGCTCCATTTTGCAGAAGGGGAGCAGGAAGGGAATTACCGAGGGGCGAGTCGCTGGCCGCAGCACAGCCTGATTTCACCCCACACCCTCCTACTCCAGCCACCAAGCCCTTTCCCCACTTCCTGCTGGCTGAGCCCGGCAGGTGGCCGTGGGTGCAGTCCTAGATCGGACAGCGGAACGGGGTAGGGTGAAGCAGCCCTACCCCCTGGGGCTCTCCAAACAGTGCGAGAGGGTGGTGGGAAAGGGAAGTAGAGACTGAGGCCATATGGGAAGACCGTTTAATCGGAATCTTGAAGAACACAGGGCAGAAAGGACAGCTAGGGGACTGGCACGACGTCTACAGGCTGCTGGGAGCCTGGATATCTGAGAAATCTCCAGGTGGACTTCTCAGCCCCAAAGCCTTCCTTTGAGAAATGTTTTCCTCTCCTGGGTCTCAACGCTGTTGAGACCTATTTGCCTGCCTTCCTCTTTGGGTATCAGTGGCGCTAGTTCCCCATCATTGGCTTATCCCCTCTGGTCACCTTGCAGGTAAGATGCCGTGTGTGTGTGTGTGTGTGTGTGTGTGTGTGTGTGTGTGTAGTGGTAGTGAGTGGAATGCAGAGGAAGTAGAAAGAAATTCTCTGCTCACCTAATTTCATCAATTAGTCCTCATAGGACAGCACTCTGCGCGGTGGGGATTATGTATCTTCTACAGATAAGAAAACGGGAGCTCAGGGAAGCACGAGTACCTCGTTCAAGGTCACACAGCTAGTAAGGAGCAGCAAAGGGGTTCCAGCCAGTCTCTCTGACTCCCAGGTTTGTGCTCCCCTACAGGGCCACTGCTGGCCCTCAGCATGGAATCAAGACTGAGCTGGGTGGGTAAAACCGCTTTGATGTATGTCAGCCTCACTGATTAATTTAGACCTTCAAAAACAAGCCACTTTAGGGGCACCTCTGTTAAGCATCTGGCTCTTGATTTCAGCTCAGTTCATGATCTCAGGGTTGTGAGATTGAGCCCCACATCGGGCTCCCTGCTGGGTGTGCAGCTGCTTAATATTTTCTCTCTCTCTCACCCTCTGCCTCTTCCCACCCTCCCAGCCCACCCTCTACCTCCCCCTCTAAAAACAAAGCAAAACGAAAAACACACAAGCTACTTTGAGTTTGTAGTGGTTCTGGAGCATTAGTAGTGTGTCTCCTGCGTAGAGACCCAAACCCTATGCGTGTGGGAACTCTTTCCTCCTGGCCACCCTCCCCAAGAGTTTATTTTATTTATTTTTAAAATATTTTATTTATTTATTTGACAGAGAGAGATCACAAGTAGGCAGCGAGGCAGGCAGAGAGAGGGGGGGAAGCAGGCTCCCCGCAGAGCAGAGAGCCCGAAGTGGGGCTCGATCCCAGCACCCTGGAATCATGACCTGAGCCAAAGGCAGAGGCTTAACCTACTGAGCCACCCAGGCGCCCCTCCCCAAGAGTTTAGATGCTAACCCACCTTCACCTTTTCTCCAGATACTATTTCAGGCAAAAGAGAACAACCTGTTAGAACTGATCTCCTTCCCAGCCCGATTCCTGTCCCCAACCCCAAACTTTGTGTGAGACTGCTTTTGCCACTGAGCCAGGTAATGATATCCAATACCTTTCTCTAACTGTGCCTGGTCTCCAGATGTGGGCACCAGAAATGCTCAGTTACCCCAAACATTTGGGTGTAATCTAGGGAAATCATTACAACAACAAGAGCAGTGACAACTGGTCTCACACATCTGATCCAATCCTAGAGGGAAGCTGTAATTTTTTTTAAATTTTATTTATTTATTTGACACACAGAGAGAGATCACAAGTAGGCAGAGAGAGAAGGGGAAGCAGGCTCCCTGCCGAGCAGAGAGCCCGATGTGGGGGTTAATCCCAGGGGCCATGACCTGAGCCTAAGGCAGAGGCTTAACCCTCTGAGCCACCCAGGTGACCCCAGGAAGAGAGAGAATGTTAAGCAGGCTCCCAAACAGAGCTTGATCTCATGACCCTGAGACCATGATCGGAGCCCAAACCACGAGTCAGACACTTAACTGACTGAGCCACCCAGGTGTCCCATGTGTCTGTCATCTTTAACCTCAGGTTCCCAAGTTTTGTCTTCATCTTTCTAGTGTTTTTTCTTCTTTTCTGTTCTATTTCACTCTCTAAAAATGCCCTGTACACATAAAGCTCTGTAATAAAGCAATTAGTTATTAAAATTGTGGAAATACCTTGAGATCAACTAGTGTAGATATAATGAATTTTAAAAATCACTCTCATGCTGTTCCACAGAATGGTTATATCACCATTTATTCAACCATTCCATTAATGGTCATTCACTTTGTCTCCACTTGGTTTTCTACTTTGCCTCTACAAACAATAGCTCAACAAAATTCCTTAATTGTATTTTTATGCATTGATGATGTTACTTCTGTGAGGGCAGATTCCCAACATGAGACTGCTAGGTCAAAGTATTTTTATTTTAAAAATTTATTTAAAAACTTATATATTGCTGAATTGCTGGTGGAAATATAAGTTGATATATAACCTTTTTGTAAAAGTAGATGGTTTCCCAAAACCCACTAGCAAAAGATCTCCTAATTTTTGCCAACTTCACAAAGTCAAAGTGACAGCTCATTGGTTGGGGTTTTTTTTGTTTTACATTGGTTGTTTTAATTCACATTTCCCTGAGTATTTCTTAGATTCATTAACATTTTCAGAGATTAATCGCCATTTACTCTTCTGTGACTAGCCATCTAGTCCAGATGGATTAAAGACTTTAATGTAAAAAAATAATCAAAATCTTAGAAACAAATTAGGGACAAAGGAGACCTTTTTAACTTTTTAAAAGAGTAAATTAACTATCTAAAAAGGAGAATATATAAATATCCTACTGTGAAAAATTAAAATGTTCTTTTACTATATAAAAAAGCATAAAGACAATCACTAGATTAAAAAAAATTTGCAACACACATGAAAAAAGATTAATATTTCAAACATATAAAGAGCACCTCCAGATTTGTAAGAAAGACAAACCAATACAAAAATAGGCGAAAAATATATAGGCAATTCACTGATGACGATTTGTTTAGTATGAAATCTGGATGAATACTTTCATTTGTCCATTATTTTTCTCTTGTGAATTTCCTTAGACCTTCTAATATTTAATATGACAGTATGCTTTAACACATTCTTATGTTTCTAAAGTATCTCTCTCTTTTTAAAAGACTTTATTTGAGAGAGAGCACAAGAAAGAGAGCAAGAGCAGGGGGAGGGGCAGAGGGAGAAGCAGACTCCCCACTGAGCATGGAGCCCGATGTGGGGCTCGATCCCCGGACCCCGGAATCATGACCTGAGTGAAGGTAGATGCTTAGCCAACTGAGCCACCCAGACACCCCCTCTAAAGTATCTCTTAAGTGTGTATTTTCTCTGGTGAATTGTCGATAAGAGACACAGTTTGATTTTTCTTGTAGTGTTGGCATCCGGATGAATGCTTTATTAATCTTTATATTAGCTGAGTTTCTCTTTGATGGATTCTTTGATGTACAGTAAGGCTGGAGCTACTCCTAAAGGCTTTCCCACATTCATTACATTTATAGGGTTTTTCTCCAGTATGCATCCTCAGATGTACAGTAAAGTCTGAGTTGGTTCTGAAGGCTTTTCCACATTCTTCACATTTATAGGGCCTTTCCCCAGTATGAATTCTCTGATGGAGAGTTAGTTGTGATAGAGTGATACAACCTTTTCCACATTCCTTACATGTATAGGGTTTTTCTCCAGTATGTGTTCGCCAATGCACTGTAAGGTATGAACCTCTCCTAAAGGCTTTTCCACAGACATCACATTTATAGGGTTTCTCTCCACTATGGATTTTCTGATGTTCTGTGACATGTACCATCTGGCTAAATGCTTTCCCACAGTCATTACACTTAAATGGTTTCTCTCCAGTATGTGTTCTTTGATGGGTATTAAAGCCTGAGTTACTTGTGAAAACCTTCCCACACTCATTACATTTATAGGGTTTTTCTCCAGTATGCCTTCTTTGATGTACAGTAAGTTGTGACGTATTAGTGAAAGCTTTCTCACATTCATTACACTTATACGGTTTTTCTCCAGTATGGGTCCTTTGATGTACAATAAGGTATGACTTAGTCCTGAACGATTTTTCACAATCACAGCATTTATAAGGTTTCACTCCAGTATGAATTTTCTGATGCTCTTTGAGATTTACCATTTTGGTAAATGCCCTCTCACAGTCAGTGCATTTATATGGTTTCTCCCCAGTATGAATCCTCTGATGTACAGTTAGGTGTGATTTTATTCTGAAAGATTCCCCACACTCATTACATAGGTAAGGTTTCTCTTCAGTATGAATTCGCTGATGTATAATTAGGGATGAAGAACGCATGAAGGCCTTTCCACATTCATTACATTTATAAGGTTTCTCTCCTGTATGCATTCTGTGGTGTACAGTAAGGCATGAATAATTAATGAATGCTTTCCCACATTCATTACATTTATAGGGTTTTTCTCCTGTATGAATTCTTAGATGTTCTGTGAAATTTGCTATACGATTGAATGCTTTCCCACATTGATTACATTCATAGGGTTTTTCCCCAGTATGAGTTCTTATATGTACAATAAGGCTTGAATTACTTCTGTAGGCTTTCCCACATTCATTACATCTAAAGGGTTTCTCTCCAGTATGAATTCTCTGATGGACATTAAAAATTGTGGTATTCTTGAACGATTTCCCACACTCATTGCATTTATATGGTTTCTCTTCAGTATGGGTCTTCTGATGTACACTAAGATATGACTTATTCCTAAAGGCTTTCCCACAATCATTACATTTGTAGGGTTTCTCTCTATTGTGAGTTTCTAGATGTCTTGCAAGTTTTGATTTATCACTGAAAGCTTTCCCACATTCACTACATTTATAGGGTTTCTCTCCAGTTTGAATTCTCTGGTGTTGATTAAGGCGAGCACACTGGCTAAAAGACTTTCCACAGACATTGCACTGATAAGGTTTCTCCTTAGTATGAATTCTCTGATGTACCATAAGTGATGAAGAAGCAATGAAGGCCTTTCCACATTCATTGCATTTATAGGGTTTTTCTCCTGTGTGAATTTTTTTATGTTGACTGAGATATGAAGGCTGGCTAAACATTTTCCCACATTCATTACATTCATAAGGTTTTTCTTTAGTGTGAGTTCTCTGATGTTGAATGAGTAGTGACCTATAACGAAAGGACTTTTCACATGTACTACATTTATAGGGTTTTTCTTTATTATTGTATCTTTCCCCTAAGGTAAGTTCTGAAGTAGGCCTTATGGCTTTGCCGCCTTCTGTATCCTTGAAGAGTTTCTTCCCCAGATGGGTATCTGTAACCAAATCTAAATTCTCAGTGAAATTCTCATGTGTTTGGCATTTGCTGTGGGGTTCTTCTGTGATAATGCCTGCTTCAGGAAAAAGAAGAGATCCAAATCTAAATCTTCTTTGACCAGAGGGAATTTTCTTGTGAGTAACTATTTTTTGATTCAAATGATTTTCCTGACTGTTTGGCAATTTTAATTTCCTTTCATTCCATTTAAATAATCCTCCCATTCTGGAGTTCCACAGACCATTCTCCATGAGTTTATCTATTACAGTCTCTTGTGATACATCTTCAGAAACATCCTCTGTTGATACAGCATTCTTGGTTGCAGGTTTGGTCTCCAACTCTGGGGGAAGAAAAAGATAAATCAAATGACTCCTATTTCTGAAGTAGGAAGATCTCAGTAAACAAGAAAATAAAAAGGAAACCTTAGCTGATAATTAATGTAAAGTTTTAACTGCTAGCAAATTGGCCTTGTTTTTAAGAAGAAAGACATGTTTGAAGGAGGCTAGCTGAGCCAAGAACCAAAGCAGCAAATTCACTTTTCCCCTACAAAAAAAATTCATTCATGGTAACCCTCCTAGAATCTAAGTATCTCAAATACTTCTCTTTTCATTCCCTTTATAATAAACTTTTTTTTCCCAGACCATTCTTCATAAGTTGTGATTACTTTTTTGATTCCCATTTACTCTACAAACCAGACATTGCTCCCAACTATACTTTCTATTTGTTCTCACTTGTTTGCTAGCTTTTTAAATGAGGGCTTTCTCAAGTTTCCGTGTCAGAGTAGCTTATTCAAATCTTTTTATGTAGTTTTTAATAAAACGTTAATGGAAAACAACACTTTGCTTTTTCAGAAAGTAGGCTGAACAGTAAATTAGTCAAAATTAATGTTTATAGTTATTAATATTTCAAACAGTGATAATAATTATCAAGGATAGTTTTGCAAACTTCTTATGTCTTAAGATCATGCCTAAAAGTCTGTCCAGGGGCGCCTGGGTGGCTCAGTGGGCTAAAGCCTCTGCCTTAGGCTCAAGTCATGATCCCAGAGTCCCGGGATGGAGCCCCGCATCGGGCTCTCTGCTCAGCAGGGAGCCTGCTTCCTCCTCTCTCTCTGCCTGCCTCTCTGCCTACTTGTGATCTCAGTCTGTCAAATAAATAAATAAATAATCTTTAAAAAAACAAAAAGAAAAGTCTGTCCAAAAAACTGGATAAAAACAACTTACACACTGAATTTTAAAGCCATGAAGCATTCCACTATCCACAAAAAGTTTTGATCTAATTTGTTTTTAAACATTTAGAAATAATTGCCTGAAAATTAATTAGAAATTTAAAAGAAGTATAAAAGTACAGAGCGCCTGAGTGGCTCAGTCAGTTGAGCATCTGACTCTTGATCTCAGCTTGGGATTTCTCAGGGTTGTGAATTCAAGCCCCACGCTGCATTCCATGTGGAGCCTACTTAAAAAATCAAAAAGTATAAAACTGTTCTAAAAGTAAACTATTGGGGAGCCTGGGTGGCACAGTTAGTTAAGTGTCCAGCTCTTTTTTTTTTTTTTTTTAAGATTTTATTTATTTATTTGACAGAGAGAGATCACAAGTAGATGGAGAGGCAGGGAGAGAGAGAGAGAGGGAAGCAGGCTCCCTGCTGAGCAGAGAGCCCAATGCAGGACTCGATCCCAGGACCCTGAGATCATGACCTGAGCCGAAGGCAGCAGCTTAATCCACTGAGCCACCCAGGTGCCCCAAGTGTCCAGCTCTTAATTTCAGCTCAGGTTATGATCTCAGAGTTGTGAAATCGAGCCCCGGGTTGGGCTCTGTGCTGTGTGGAGTTTCCTTCAGATTCTCTCTCCCTCTCCCACTTCTGCTTGTGTTCACTCTCAAATAAATCTTTAAAAAAAGGTAAAATATTGGGGCACGTGGATGGCTCAGTTGGTGAGTGTCCAACTCTTGGTTTTGGCTCAGGTCATGATCTCATGGGTTGTGAGATTGAGTCTTGCACCGGGCTCCACACTCAGCAGAGGGTCTGCCTGAGGATTCTCTCCCTCTGCCCCTCCCCCAACGTGTGCACGCATGCATGTTCGGTCTCTCTCATGTAAATAAATCCTTTTCAAAAAGAGTAAAATTTTAAATTGTATATACAAGCAAGTTTTAAGACGACCATCCCACAGTGTAACCTTTTTTTAAAAGACCAAGATTTGAGGGGCGCCTGGCTGGCTCAGTTGGTAGACCATGCAACTCTTGATCTCAGGGTTGTAAGTTTGAGCCCCATGTTGGGTGCAGAGATTACTTAAAAATAAAACCTTAAAAAAAAAAAAAAAGGACAAAGATTTGAATTCAAAGACACCAAAGAGGAGAACCCTAGAACCCAGTTCACTTAAATGTCTAATTCAATTAAGGTAACTGGGGATGGTTACAGCCTTTACCCTAGCAGCCCACCAAAGCAAACAATTCTCCATGGAAAAAGGTTACACAATCCAGAACCTCAAACTATTTTTACAGGTTCTCATATCAATGCTTGACAATGAAAAATAATAAACATATAAGAAGATAAAAGTCTCATTACAAAAAAGTCAAGAGAGGGGCACTTGGGTGGTGCAGCTGGTGAGTGTCCAACTCCTGGTTTCGGCTTGGAGGGTCGTGAGATCAAGCCCTGCACTGGGCTCTTTGCTGAGCCAAAGAGTCTGCTTAAGTTTCTCTCTCTCCCTCCCCACCCCCATTCTCTTTCTCTCTCAAATAAATATCTAAAAAAAAAGAGAGAGAGAGAGAGAAAAGAAAAAAGCTAAGAGAAAAAAACAAATACAAACAGAAAGGTATCCAGACAATTGAGGTTTCAGACATAAACTTAAAATAATCATGATTATACATTTAAGAAAATAAGACAAGACCCATAATTTCACCAAATAATTGGAAAGTTTAAAATAAGAATCAAGGGGCAGCTGGGTGGCTCAGTGGTTTAAGCCTCTGCCTTCGCCTCAGGTCATGATCTCAGGCTTCTGGAATCGAGCCCCGCATTGGGCTCTCTGCTCAGTGGGGAGCCTGCTTCCCTCTCTCTCTGCCTGCCTCTCTGCCTACTTATGATCTCTCTCTGTCAAATAAATACATTCTTTAAAAAAATAAAATAAAATAGGGGCGCCTGGGTGGCTCAGTGGGTTAAAGCCTCTGCCTTCGGCTCAGGTCATGATCTCAGGGTCCTGGGACCGAGCCCCGCATCGGGCTCTCTGCTCAGCGGGGAGCCTGCTTCCTCCTCTCTCTCTCTCTGCCTGCCTCTCTGCCTACTTGTGATCTCTCTCTGTCAAATAAATAAATAAAATCTTAAAATAAATAAATAAATAAATAAAATAAGAATCAACTGGCAATTCTAGAAATGGACAATAAGAACTCAAAGACTAAAAGCACAACAGATATGACACATGAGCGTGTTAACAAAATGGAAAATAGGTCAGTAGACAATATGCATATTGAAGTACAGAATGATGAAAAACTTGAAAAAATTATTTTAAAAAATTATAGAGACATATAGGATAGAGTGAAAAGGTTGATCACAGATGTCCCAGAAGACTAGAAAGGTAAGTGAGACAGAATGAGATGAAATCAAATTCAAAGACATTAACACCAAAACATTTTAAAAATATCAAGCCATAGATCTTAGAAGCCAAATGAATCCCATGTAGGAGAAATACAAAGGAAATATATTATGACAAATTAAAATTATATGAATTTCAAATTTCAGTGTCCATAAATAAGATTTTAGTGGAATATAACCACATTCTTTGGTTAACACTTTGTCTTTGGATGCTTTTGTGCTTTCAACTGCTAAATGGTGTAGTTGCAACAGAGCTATCATGTTCCCCAAATGCCTAAAATATCTACTGTCTTACCTTTTACAGAAAAGGTTTGCCGAGTCCTGAATTAAACAGATGGTTGACTTGTCGACAGGTATAAGACAGAAAAAAATGGAATGATACCTTCACAATGCTGAAAGAATTTAATACAAACCTAAAAGTCTAAACTTACCAAAAATATTATCCAAAAATGAAGATTAAATGAAGATAAAAAGAAAAATGGAGGGAATATGATACTGACAGGTGTGAATAAAATTAAATATTAGAGGGTATTCTTTAAGCAGAAGAAAAATAATCCCAGGTAGAAGTTTAGAAATGAGGAAAAATAAAAAGAGAAAGTATAGGCAAAAATATAGGTAAATCTAAATGAATACTGACTGCATAGAACATAGTCTTATGAGATTTGACATATAAATAGGATTAAAATACATAATTTGAACAACATAGAAATTAGGTTAAGTAAGTTATTCTAAGATCCCTGTGTTGTTTGGTGAGAGAGAAAGTCTAATCTAAGAGAGAAAATCTAAGATGAATCATTGATGCATGCTTTAATCTCGAAGTTAACCACCACACAAATAATTCTAGAAATTTATAATTACCAAGTGATTAGGGAGGAAATAGAAAAATAAAAGTTAGTAAACCTGAAGGCATAAATGGGGAAAAAGAGACTATAGAACAGGAAAGACACTTTCCCAGTCGGATGACAGATTTAAACACTATATAACTGTATTATGTAAATATAAACTAAATACTCCAAAAGATACGGACACTCCCTCAGGTTATTTAGAGGTAATTTTGTACCATCTGCCTTACAAACAAAATCTGGTTAAAACAAAAATCTAATATGCTACTTATAAGAGAAACAAAATACAAGGATATAGAAAAGATAACAGTGAAAGAATTAAAGTGAGGCACCATATACACAATAACCGAAAGAAAGATGCAATGGTGATGTGAGTATGAGGCAAAATAGACTTTAAGGCAAAAACCATTATGGAGATAGAGAAGACACTTCAGAAGAATAAAAGGTCCAATTTAACTGAAAGAACAGTTGTAACTTTGTATTTGCCTAATAACACAGCCATAAAATACACAAACCCAAAATTAAAGTAACTAAAATAAGAAACAGAGAAATCTACAGTCTTACGAGGAAACATTAAAAATCTCTCTCAGTACCCGACAGAAAAAGCTGACAATCCGTAAGTACATAGATTTTAGCAACATAAACAATTTGATATCGCTGGGGTGCCTGCGTGGCTCAGGCAGCCAAGCCTCTGACTCTCGGTGTCAGCTCAGGTCCTAATGTCAGGGTCGTGAGACTGATTAGGAGCCACACTTGGCGCAGAGTCTGCTTGAGATTCTTCCCACCTATTCCTCCCTCCGCCCTCTGCTTCTCCCCATTTGCGTGCTCCCTCAAATAAACAAATGAATAAAATTTAAAACAAAAACTTGTATCTAAAACTGCACTCAATACCTATAGACTACACATTTTCCAAGTGCACAC